TTTTAAAAAAAGAAAAAAAATGAAGTTACACCCCTGTCATTTGTGTTGGTAACTCATTAACTGGTAAGTTAAAGTTTTTTTTTTTTGTAGTCAAGGAAGATCTTGAACTCCTGATCCTCCTGTCTACATCTCAGTCTTGGTGGCACATACCTATAATCACAGCACTTTGGAAGCTGAGCAGGAAGAGTGCTGAACATTCAAGTCCACCTTGGGCTAATTAGTGAGTTCAAGGCCAGTTTGGGGTAAGTAGCAAAACTCTGAGCAAAACAAAGCCCAGCTGGTCATGGTAGCACATGCCTGTAATCCTAGCACTTGAGAGGTAGAAGCAGGAGGATCAAGGGTTCAAGGCCAGCTTAAGTCTGAAGACCACTTAGGCTGCATGAGGCCCTGTCTCAAAAATAAAACCCACAAAGAAGCTGGGCATGCTGGTTCAGCACTCAGGAGGCTGAGGCAGGAGGATTGCTTCAAATTCAAGGCCAGTCTGGGCTGTAGAGTGAGACTTTGTCTCAAAAAAGAAAGAAAGAAGGAAAGAAATTGGATGTTAGGAACAAATTTCTTCAAATTCTGTTTCAAGTCATTGCATTTTATTCAAATTAGAGTCAAGATTAGTGTCCATGGCAGGAACACAAAACTTTGCATAGTAATCATAGTATTTCCCAGCTGCTATCTGTGGAGCACTAGCCATGTATCAGCATTTTATAGGTCTCAGTTGGAATTATATTTCTATGGATAGTCTTTATACAAATAAAGGCAAGATAAAGAAAAAACTTGAGAAACTCAGAAAAATGAAATGAACATAATGGTGCATGGCTATAATCCCATCACCGTGGAGGCAGAGGCAGGAAAACCTTGTTAAAGTCAGCCTAGGATACATAGCAAGTGTGAGAGCAGCCTGGGGAGACATACTGAGACACTGACTCTAAAAAAAACAAAAATCAACTAAACAACCCCCCCCCTACACACACACAAAGTTAGTGTATGCTTATTATCCTGGCACTGTGTAGGTCAAGGCAGGAAGATTGCTGTGATTATGGAGTTATATAGCAAGTACCAGACCAGCAACCAGGGCTACTTGTTAAGACCAAGACCCTGTCTCAAAACAAACAAAAACCCTATTAACTTTTTCTCATAAGATCAGTATTTAAGATTAAACTCTTTCAAGTCAGGCATGGTGGTGTACACCTTTAATTCCCCCACTCAGGAGACAGAGACAGGCAGATAGATCTCTCTGAGATCCAGACCAACTGGGGCTACAGGGAGACCCTGTCTCAAAAAGACCAAAAAATTTAAACTCTTTCCATCATGTTGTTTTCTTAGGCCTGAGTTTGTATCCTAGTCACCACATAATGAGTCGAGTCGGGGGCATGCACCTGTTACTCTAGCACTTTTGGGGGCATAGACAGGAGGATCAACTGGGACTTGCTGGGTACCAGCCTACCTGAAAACAAAACGAAACACAGGAGCTCCAGGTTCAGGGAGAAACCCTGCCTCGGAGGACTAAGATAGGAGTGATAGAGGAGGACACCCAATGACCTTCTCTGGTCTCTGCAGGTGAACCCGCACATATACCACATTTGCACACACACACATACACACACACACACACACACACATCTTCAGGAGAAGTGTAGGTCCTTATTTAGGAAGGAAAAGAATACATAAATGATGCATCCATAAATTGACATAGATTTGCCTAGTGCTTTCCTTTAACCTTTAATTTTAATTTGGTTTAACCTTTAGTTTCAAGTTTAGCTGGACTCTAATGACAGGAAAACTGTAAATGGATTTCAGTTAAGTTCTTACTAGAAGTGAATATATGGCATAGGAAAGCTATTTCTTCAGTATAAAGGGATAAAGAGCAAATTAAAGACTATTCTTTAATAACCAAGTATAATTAAAATGCATTATCAGATTTATGTTTTAGTATCTCAGAGCCGTTGATAGTGTCTGATGCAATTGCTTCCTTTTGTAGTGGCGCATGCTTGTAAGCCCAGTACTCAGAAGGCTGGGACAGGAGGATCACTACTAATGGCCCGCCTGGACTACACAGTGAATTTAGGCCAGCCATGGCTATATAGCCAGACCCTGTCTTAAAAACAAAAATTAAAATGAGAACGCTGATTTTAAAAAAAAGAAATTGGGCCAGGTGTGGTGGCGCACACCCTTAATCCCAGCACTCAGGAGGCAGAGGCAGGCGGATCTCTGTGAGTTCAAAGCCAGCCTGGTCTACATAGTGAGTTCCAGGACAGCTGGGGCTACAGGGAGACCCTGCCTCAAAAAAAAGACAAAAAATAAAAAATCCCAAATCTTAATATAAAGAAAATTATTTTAATTTTGATGTTATATAATTTACAGAGTAAACTAGAAATATATCTCTTGGGGGAATTGTGAACACACGGAACTTCAGGCAGAAAGATTCTTTTTTTCTATAATCAAGTATCATTTAGAAAATGACAATATTTATTAAGTTCCTTGGAATGTTTCTCAGTGATATAGATCAACCTCACTTTTTCTCCTTCTTGGAGTTGTTTGGTGACTTAATTCAAAAGAGAGACTGCTGGGTTATCCATGGTACTCTGATTGCTCTTTTTATGGGTGCTGGTCTTCTAGGCAAAGTAGCAGCACTTGGCTATCTAGACATTCTGTTGAGCATCAGCTCCTCCCTTAAGGATCAGAAGAATGGAGATAAGGGATTCCAGAAGAGATTTCTATGGGCTTCTGACCAGCAGATTCAAGACAGCTGGTTTCCTTTGCAGGCCTAGAGGCCCAGGAGTGCAGTTCTCAGGGCACCCCAGGGACACCCCCACCCCAATTCCCTAATACAGCTTCTCACTTCATTATCCAATCCCCAAAGCATTGATGACGAAACAGTGTGAGGTTAGCTGGAGGTGGTGGCACACTCCTGTAATCCCACCATTCAGGAGGCTAAGGCAGACCCACAGATTTGAGGCCAGCCCAGCTACCTGCTGAATACCAAGCCAGCCAGGGCTACATAGCAAGACTTTTTTTTTTGAGACAGGGTCTCCCTGTAGACCTGGAACTCACTATGTAGACCAGGCTGGTCTTGAAGTTACAGAGATCTTCCTGCCTCTGGCTCCTGAGTGCTGGGACTAAAGGTGTGCACCACCATACCTGGATTATTTATGAGTCTTAAAGATTATTTATTTATTTATTTTACCTCTAGGTCTTTTATTTCTTCTTGTACATTAAGCCATGAACTCATAGGGAACAGGCTCCAGCAGCTCAGGCTCCTTTCCGTTAGTTCTCACAAAATGTACTTCTCTGGGTGGGGTGGGCTGGCACTTCAACTGAACCCAGGTTCCTTTCTCTTTAGCTTCCATTTTTTTCTGGTCATTTTCCTTCACACACTTCAGGAAGCTGTCTTGGCTCTTAGAGTGCTTAATATGCTCAATATGCACATTAATTCTCTTGGCAAGAGTCTTGCCCTTAACTTGCTTGTTTAGGACAATGAAAACAGCATGCTGAGTGACGTTGTAGACGCTCCCAGTTTTGCCATGGTAGCATTTATGAGGCATTCCTTTTTGAACAGTACCCATTCCCTTAATGTCTCCACTATCACCCTTCTTGTAGATTCACATATATGTGGCCAAAGGAACAGCTCCATGTTTTCTAAAAGGCCTAGAGAACATGTAGTGGGCGCCTCTCCTCTTTCCCTTTGTGTTTGTCATTTTGGCGAATCACTGGAAGATGGCTGCTCTGGCGGAAAGCTTAAAGATCTTTTTATTTTATATGTATGGCTATTTTGCCTGCATGTATGTCTATGTACACCATGTGCATGCCTGGTGCCCAAGGGGGCCAGAAGAGGGCATTGGATCTTCTGGAACTGGAGTTATAGACAGTTGTCAGCTGTGGTGCCGGGAACCAAACCGGCATCCGCTACACCAACAGCCAGTGCTCTTAACTGCTGAGCCTTCTCTCCAGCCCCACAAATGATTTCTTTATGTCAACAAAAGATTGGTATCAGGGCAAAACTTTAGACCAAAAGTAGTGACCGTGTTCTGCTGTCCTGTTTCGACCTTGAAAGAGGCTTATAACTGCTCTCTGCTTTTCTCTCTCCTGGACCTAGAGTGATGTTTGTTTCCTAGCACTGTTGTATAGATGAGATGACCTGTGTGAAATGTTCTCAATGTACAGGATGATGTCAAAGCAATAAGCTGCAATCCTGTTACTAGAGTAAAAATAGGGGTGCAGAGATAGACCTCCATTTTCTTCTTTAATCTTGTCTTTCCAGATGTGGTAGGCCTCTAGAGTCCCCTCCCTCTTCCCTAGGTTGCAGTAAGGTTTGGGTGTCTTTGCTTGGAAAGAATGCTTTGATTCCTCTGAGATCGTGCTCATCAAGAAGGCCTTTGTTTCACTTAACTCTTTGAGTCTGGGGTCAGGGTGACACCCATTGTGCCGTGGTACAGGACCTGCCAATAAAAGAGGGTCCAAGTGCAGGCGGGGAAGCTGCCATGAACTCTGCGCTCTGGCACCAGTTTTCTGACTCCTCCACAGAAGCCAAGACCTGGAGCCAGGGAGCTTCTGACCACCTTGCATGAGAAAGGAAAGTGCAGCCTGAGGCCCTGGCTTCAACCTCGTGAAGTCCACTTGACAGAGCATCGGGTGGTGTGACCACAGCTACTGTGTGCATCAGCTATGTCCTTCAGTGCCACCATCCTCTTCTCCCCTCCCAATGGCAGCGAGGCCAGATGCTGCTGCTGCGCCTGTAAGAGCGAGACAGGCGGGGGCAGCACAGGGGCCCAGGGCGGGGGTGCCCCTGCCAGCACCCCCATCACAGTGACCGGACACGGCCTGGCGGTTCAGAGCTCGGAGCAGCTCCTGCACATCATCTACCAGCGGGTGGACAAGGCAGTGGGGCTGGCCGAGGCTGCTCTGGGCCTTGCACGCGCCAACAACGAGTTGCTAAAGCAGCTCCAGGAGGAAGTGGGTGAGCTACGGCAGGGGAAAGTGTGCACCCCCGACGAAGATGGGGAGAGCCGGGCCCGCAGCCCTCCCCCTGAGGAGCCCGGGCTGCTCAAGGAGAGTCCGGGGGAAGCCTGCAAGGCCCTGTCGGCCGTGGAGGAGGAGTGTGACAGCGTGGGCAGCGGCGTGCAGGTGGTGATCGAGGAGCTGCGGCAGCTGGGGGCGGCCTCCGCCGTGGGCTCTGGGCCCCTGGGCTTCGCGGGCTCCCAGAGGGACTTGCGGCTCCCTGGATGCGCAGAGGCAACGCCGCTGCTCAACCCCGTGAGTACCACTGCGGAGGGTCCTCCTGTGGCTGGATGCCGCTCTGCCTCCTCCCCCTCCTCCTCGTCCTCCTCCTCACCTCTGTTTCTGTCCACGTTTAAATGTTTCTTTCGGTTGTATTTGTGTGTTTTTTAATATTTATTTTGTTTTAAATTGTATGAGTGCATTGCCTGCATGTAAGTGCACCCGTGTCGTGCAGTGCCCCCAGAGGTCAGAAGAGGGCGTCGGATCCTCTGGAACTAGAGATACAGACGGTTGTTAGCCGCTGTGTGGGTGCTGGGACTCGAACCCGGGTCATCTCTCGGCAAGAGCAGCCAGTCCTCTCAACCATTAAGCTTTCCCTCCAGCCCCCTTTGGTTGTGTTTGTGATAAAACAGAACAGCACCAAGTTTCTTCCACTTTGAGGCCTGGTCGCACGCTGGTTTCCTCCCGGCCAGTGTCTTTGGCAGGTCATTCTCCCGAGCTGTGGTGATGTGGGCTTCCCTCCTCAGCAGCTCCACAGGCCGTCTTCTCCACAGCTGTCTCCGCCGCTGCTGCTCGCCAGCTCTGCCTCTGCTGGGAGAGTGCCTGCGGTGCACAGACGGCTCATTCATATTTTATAATGGCCTTCAGCTAGCCAAGAAGGGCTTCAGGACAGAGATGGGAAGCGTGCAGAGGAGATGGGCAGAGCGGAGGTGGAGAGAGAAGAGTGAAAGGGAGAGTCACGGAAAAAGGATCATAGAGGCAGATACAGGGAAAAAAGTGAAATAAAGGTTTGAGGAAGGAGAAAGTGAAGAGGGAGCACTGAAGAAAGGAAAGAGGAGCGTTTACTATTATCTGGGGACAGGATCTCTGTAGCCCAGGCTAGCTTCAAACTTATGGCAGTCCTTCAGTCTCAGACTTCTGAGTGCTGGGATTAAAGGTATGAACTACCATGCCTGGCTTCAAAAGAATTTACAAAAAAAAAAAAAAAAAAAAAGAATTTACATGGGAAAAGATGAAGTGAGGGACAGAGAGTAGAGGAAAGGAAATAAAACGGGAATGAATAGGTGGGCATGGTGTCATGTGCCTTTATAGTCCCAGCATGCCGAGGCACTCTGTGAATTTAGGCTAACTGGAGCTATGTAGTAAGACCCTGTCTCAAAATAAAAGAAACAGAGGGTGTGGCAGGAGGATTACAATTACCATAAATTCAAGGCCAGCCTGGGCTTCATAATGCATTCCAGGCCTACCTGAGCCACATATTGAGATCCCATCTTTAAAAAAAAAAAAAAAAAAGTTTGGGGCTGGAGAGTTGGCTTAGCACTTAAGAATACTGGCTATTCTTGCAGAAGACCCGGGTTTGAATCCCACATGGCAGCTAACAACTGTCCGTAACTCCAGTTCCAGGGGATCCAACAGCCTCTTCTGTCCTCTGCAGGCACTGCATGACATGGGCGCACTTACCTACATGCAGGCAATACTTGAATAAAACATAAAATAAAAATAATGAATAAAATATTTTTAAAAAGGTAAAGGATGCAGAGAAGGAGGGAAGTGAGCATATTCTAGGCAGGAAAAGACATAGACATACAGTACGCTATTTCAGTTTTTTTTACTGCTCAAGGGCCATCTGAATAGGAAAAGCCTGGCTAAATAGAGTATGAACTGCAGAAAGGCACACATGCAAGAAACAGACAGAGCAACTGGAGAGATGGGAAAATAACAGATGTCACACTCAGCAGTGGTGGGGGATCTTCAGCTCTCTCTACCCGCTGTCTGCTCACTTTCTTCCTCCCTGCCCCCAACTAGGCAGCAATACCCAGTAAAGAGTAAAGAGCAGAACACACAGGGCGAATGAGAGGGTGGCAACTCCCAGCCCATCTGCTGGATCTGGGGAGTGAGGGTCTAAATGTCTCTCCTCTTAGATGCTAGCCTGTTACAGCAACTGGCCACAGCTTTCCCTAAAGCATAGCTTGGTAGTAATGGTCACTGTTGTTCTCTGAGGTCTCCCTTGTCAGTAGTCTCAGTGATTTGGGCCTGAGTGATAGGAGGAAAGATACCCAGGCCAAGCAGTACCCTGCACTGTGGGTTCTTTCAGGCAGGGAAGGCGTCCAAGCCAACGGGATGGAATTAGATTTCACAGTGCAGAAAGCAGCTCACGGGTCTATAAATCTCAGCTACCTCCCCCGCCTCTCTCTCTCTTCTCTCTCTCTCTCTGGTTTCCCCCTACTTTCACTGTTTATTTCTTGGCTGCAGGAATCCCCCCCTCCTTTCCTCCTCCCTCTCTGCCTCACTCCCTTCTTCCTTGTCCTGTGTGTCCTTGACTGCACAGGCAGTCAGCTGGATGTTAGGGCTGAAACAATGGGATGTGGCCTGGCCAGGATCAAGTCTAGGGCACAGACTGGCTCCTCGAAGGGAGCAAAGGATAGGTGAGGTAGCTGCGTTAGTGACATCCTATCTAGGGATTTATGACTTTGTATCTCCCTGCTTTGATCTTGTTTTTCTTGTCCCGCCTCTTTATTGTTATTACTGTACAATTTTCTCATTTCTTTCCTTGCTGTTTCCCTTTCTTGTTATCATTTCCTCCTCTAACACCTTTTGGACAAAACACTTACCTAGATAAGTTTCTTTTATTTAAAAAAAATACTTTTATTTGTATTTTATGTGAATGTTTTGCATGCATGTAAGTATACCGTGTGTGTGTGTGTGTGTGTGTGTGTGTGTGTGTGTGTGTGTGTGTGTAGTGCCTAAAGAGGCCAGAAGAGGGCATTGGATCCTCTGGAACTGGAGTTACCAATGGTTGTTGTCCTCCGTGTGGGTGCTGGGAACTGAGCCCAGGTCCTGTGTAAGATCAATCAGTGTTCTCAACTGCTGAGTCATCTCTCCAGCCCCCCAGATACATTTCTTATACTCAAGAGCACGCTATAAATAACTGTTCACATATAGAGCAGCAAAGCATACATTATAAGCTATCTTGTCTATGTAAGCTGTCCTGCATTAACAACCCAACACCAGAAATCCAGTTCACACAAGAAATATTTGACTGATATTCTCATGGACTCCCAGAGAAACAAGCCATTGACTATTAAATACTGCTAGGTTGGTCTTGTCTTCCCACTCTGTTCACTATCCTTGGCCAAAGAATGGTCCTTGAGCAGGTTCTCCTATACCTGGCTGATTAATGGACCGTTCTTCTTTATCTTCTTAGCTGGTGGATGATTATGGGGCCTCTGAGGGTGCAGTACAACGAGTGTTGGTCCCTGCTTATGCCAAACAGCTTTCGCCAGCCACACAGCTGGCTGTCCAGAGAGCATCCTCAGAAACAGGACCAGAAAATGGGACCAAGCTGTCAGCAACCTGCCCTGAGGACATGCTTAGTGCTGCCCCAGCACTGGATGGTACCCTGGAAGTGCTGGGCCCTGGGAGCACCTGTGAGCTGAGACGCTCTCTCGGATTTACTGCCTCCCCATGCAGGATCAGAGGGAGTGGGCAGAAGAACTCCAGGCGCAAGCGAGATCTGGTACTTTCCGTAAGTGAGCTCAGTTTCAATCATTTTTTTCTTCATTTGGGAGGGAGAGGTGAGGGGTGGGTTGATATTAGGCCCCCAAAATAAAATGAATGGCATAACCCTAGGCACAGGCAGTCATCTTCTAGGTTTGTCTAGATAGAATGGTATCTTCCCATTAAAGAGGAGAGAATTATACCTCCCAGTGTTCTCATGATCCTGAATAGGTAGATCTTTAAGGATTGAGTACGTGGATCACCAAAGGGTCACATTTTAGCTGAGTGAAATGTAAGTAGCAAGGGGCATCTTGTGTGGAAGAGCTAGGTTGTCCATATGTAGGGCCACTAAGCATAATACAGTTAGCTTAGTTAACAGCACTTTGGAGAATCTAGTTACTCTAAGAGTTCTTGGTAGGCAGAAAACAGACTAGCTTGAAGGTCTGCCTGAAGCTTTGAGTGCTGGGAACCCTAGGAACACCCTGCTGAGCCAAGAGCTCAGTGTGGCAGCCAACTCAAACCTACAGATCTTGTAGTCATCAAACTAGAGTAACTTTGCCCTCTCAGGACATTTGGAACAACTAGAGACTTTTCTGACTGTCACTATTGGTGGGTGTGAAGAGGGAAAATGCTGCTCACATCTGGTAGGTTTAAGCCAGGGTTCTGTTGCCTGTTCTGTAATGTCTACAGCATACACTCCAGCCCACCACAGTGAAGAATCCAGCTCCGTATGTCAACATTGCAGAGGTTGAGAAATTTTCCTCTAGAGTAAGCACAGCCTTTTGGGATCAACTCTGTGCTCAAAAGCTTTGTGTGTGTGTGTGTGTGTGTGTGTGTGTGTGTGTGTGTGTGTGTGTATGTTTTGGTTTTATTTCAGTCGTGTGTTTGTTTATTTGAGACAGGGTCTCATGGAGCCCAGGGTGGCCTCAAAGCCACTATACAGCTGAGGCTGACCTTGAATTCCTGATCTTCCTGCTTCCCTCTCCCAAGTGCTGGCTAAAATTATAAGAACATACCACCATACCCAGCTTACTATGAATACTAATTTACTTAGGTATTTATTTTTGAAGCAGAGTTGGAATTAAGAAATTTTCATATAGCCAAGCATGGTGGCACACACCTTTAATCAGGGAGAGAGAGAGAGAGAGAGAGAGAGAGAGAGAGAGAGAGAGATTGATTTTAAAGATTAAAAATTTTTTTTTGTTTTTTGGAGACAGGGTCTCCCTGTAGCCCCAGATGGCTAGAACTCACTATGTAGACCAGACTGGCCTCAATCTCACAGAGATCTGCCTTCCTCTGCCTCCTGAGTGCTGGGATTCAGGGCATGTGCCACCATGCCTGGCTTAAATTTTTTTTTTAATGTGTGTGTCTGTGTGTGTGCACCACATGTGCGCAGGTGCCTGGTAAGACCAGAAGAGGGAACTGGATTCCCTGGAGTTGCCGGCAGTTTTGAGCTTCCCAATGTGGGGACTGGGAACTGAACTCACGTCCTCTAGAAGAGCAGCAAGTGCTCTTATTTGATGAGCTGTTTCTCCAACTCCCTTAATACAGATTTTTTTCAAAGATGTATTTTTTATTTATGTGTATGTCTGTGTCACATGTATGCAGGTACCTGCAGAGGCCAAAAGAGGATGTCAGGTTCCATGGAGCTGGAATTACGGGTGGTTGTGAGCTGCCTGGTATGGGTACTGGGAACCAAACTCAGGTCCTCTGGAAGAGCAGCAAGTGCTCTTACCTGCTGAGCTGTCTCTCCAGCCCTCCTAATATAGATTTTAAGCACTAAGATTAAGAGAAAGACACTCAGGAAAAAACTAAAAGACACCTGGAGAACATGGTGTGGGCTTCTCAAAGGAGACTCATTACTACCAATTTTAAAAAGTCAAAATTGAGAGGCATGGTGGCTCAGGCTATGCTACATGGTGAGTTTGAGATCAGCACTGGCAATATAATGAGACTCTGTTTCAAAAACTATAGGAAAATAAAATATTGTGCAAGACCATGGGTTTTCAGGCGGGTGAGAATAATTACAGATATTAAGCCAGGGGTGATGGTGCACACCTGTAGTCCCAACACTTAGGAGGCAGAGGCAGGCGGATCTCTGTGAGTTCAAGGCCAGCCTGGTCTACATAGTGAGTTCCAGGACAGCTGGGGCTACAGAGAGACTCTGTCTCAAAAAGACAAAAAAAAAAAAAAAAGAATAGTTGCAGATCTTTAGTTTTGGGAAGGGAGTCAAAGAGGTATCACTCCAACCTGCTGGGATTCCTGTGGTAGGGTCCTGTGATCCAAAAGGACCAAACCAGAACCTTTAATTCCTTGGACTGCTGCAGGTGCCAGCCCTTGGGGGAAGTATATTTATTTTTAGCTTACTCAGGAGGTAGGTGAGCCAGCAGCCTTTACAGTCTTAGCACTTGGTGTCTAGAGAGTTTCCTTTTCCACTTCAAGCCTGGTTTGATTTTTATCACCTGATCTCTTCCAAGGTGCTCGAGTTGGAAGACAGGCAACTCCCCTTTTTCCATCTTTTTTGGAAAGTCTCCCAAACTCCTATGAAAACTTCACCTATTCCTTTGTGACTCCTTAATTTAAACTTTTGGTTTTTCTTTGTCTTTTCTTTCTTTTTTAAGACAGTGTCTCATGTACTTCAGGCTTGCCCCAAACTCCCTCTGTAGCTGAAGATGACCTTGAACTTTTAATCAAAGTTCTTCTACCTCCCAAGTGCTGGGATTACAGGTGTGAGCCACCACATTTGGCTTCATGCAGTACTGGGGACTGAACCCAGGGCTTCATGCATGCTAGGCAAGCACTCTACCAACTGAGCCACATTCCCATTTACATTCTCATTTGTAGCCCTTTTTAATTTTTTTGTTTACAATTTTTAAAATTTTATTTATTAATTTTTTTATGCATGTATTACCTACATGTAGGTAAGTGCACCTGTTCATGCAATGCCTGCGGAAGACAGAAGAGGCTATCGGATCTCCTGGAACTGGAGTTACAGACAGTTGTTAGCTGCCATGTGGGTGCTGGAATTCGAACCCGGGTCTTCTGCAAGAACAACCAGTGTTCTTAACCGCTGAGCCATCTCTCCAGCCCTGTTAACAATTTTTAAAGTTAATTTATTTTTATTGTATGTGTATGGGTGTATTGCCTGCACGTAGGTAAGTGCACCCATACATACAATGCTCACAGTGGCCAGAAGAGGGCGATGGATGTTCTGGAACTGGAGTTACTGACAATTCACCAATATACCACCATGTAGTTGCTGGGAACTGAACCCTAGTTTTCTAGAAGAGCAGCCAGTGCTCTTAACCACTGAGCCATCTCTCCAGAACCTCCTAGCCCATAATTTTGGGTGTGAGTGTTGAATATGTTATGTGTGTGGGGGTGTACATGTTACAGTGCAGGTGTAGAGGTTAGCGGATAACTTTTTGGAATAAGGTCTCTCCTTCCACCTTTACAAGGCTCCAGGAATTAAACTCAGGTTGTTGAGTTTGTACAGCAAGTGCTTTTTACCCACTGAGCCATCTTGCTGACCCTTGATTTTTTATGGTTTTTTTGGGGGGGCGGTTTGAGATAGGGTCTTCCCGTAGCCCCAGCCAGCCTGGAACTCACTATGTAGACCAGGCTACGAAGTCACAGAGATCTGCCTGCCTCTGCCTCCCAAGTGCTGAGACTAAAGGCTTACACCACCACGCCCCACCTTTTTTTTTTTTTTTTTCATGTATATGAATCTTTGCCTGCATGTATGTAAGTGCATCCATGTCATGCAAAGTCCATGGAGGCCAGAAGAGAGCATCTGATTCCCTGGGACTGGAGTTATGGACAGTTCTTAGCCACCATGTGGGTACTGGTAATTGAGCCCAGGTCTTCTGGAAGAATAGCTAGTGGTCGTAACTGTTGAGCTATCTCTCCAGCCCCCTGGTTTTTGTTTTTTGAGACAAGGTCCCACTCTGTGGTCCAGGCTGGCCTGGAACTCACTATGTAGCCCAGACTAGCCTTGAATTTGTGGTGATCCTTCTGCCTCAGCCTCCCAAATGCTGAAGTTACAGTCATAAGCCACCAAGCCTGATTTTTAAGTTTAGACTTCTAAGAGGTAAAATACTAGAGAGATGCTCAGCAGTTAAGAGTGCATGCTGCTATCCCAGAAAACCTGAGTTCAGTTCCCTGCACCCTGGTCGGGAGGCTCACAACCACCTGTAGCTCCAACAACAGGGAATCCAACACCCTTCTGGCCTGCACTGGCACTGCATTCATATGGCATACACACACAGAAGAACACACATACATAATTAAAAATAAAATAAGGGGCTGGAGAGATGGCTCAGAAGTTAAGAGCACTGGCTACTCTTGCAGAGAACCAGGATTCAGTTCCCAGCACTCACATGGTGACTAACAACCATCTATAACTCCAGTTCCAGAGCATCCAGTGCCCTCTTCTGACCTCCACAGGCATTGCACACACGTGGTGTACTTACATGCAGGCAGAACAGTCATACATATAAAATAAAAATTGAATTTAAAAAATAGCCCCAGTCTCCACTCTATAAAGAGCACTGCTATTATATTAGCATCATTCCACATTGGGTTTTTTGTTTTTGTTTTTTTGGTTTTTTTTTTTTTTTGGTCTTTCTGAGACAGGGTCTCCCTGTAGCCCCAGCTGACCTGAGTGAGTGCTGGGATTAAAGGCATGCACCACCACACCCAGCTACCACACTGGTTTTTTAAATTTTATTTTTTTTATTTTATGTGTATGAGTGCTTTGCCTGAATGTATGTAAGTGCACTCAAGGTTGTACAGTACCCGTGTGTGTATGTGGAGGTCAGAGGACAACCTTGGGTGACACCCTTGTCTTCCACCATGTTTGAGATAGGTTCTCTTTGTTGTTTTTCCACTGTGTATGCCCCTCTAGCTGGCCCTCAAGCTTCTAGAATTCTTTCTTTACCTCACATCACACCATAAGAGCACTGCAATTACAGATGTGCATTTCTGAGTTGGGCTTTTTTGGTTTTTTTTTTTTTTTTTGTCTTTTTGAGACAGGGTCTCCTTGTAGTCCTAGCTGACCTGAACTCACTATGTAGACCAGGCTGGTCTCGAACTCACAACGATCTGCCTGCCTCTGCCTCCCGAGTGCTGGGATTAAAGGCATGCGTCACCACAACTGGCTGAGTTGGGCTTTTATATGGCTTCTGAGGACTGAACTCAGGTCTTCATGTTCATGCAGCAAGCGTTTTATCCACCCCAAGTCATCTCCCCAGCCCAATAAAACTTTAAAAAAAGAATTATTTTAGGGCTGCAGAGATGGCTCCGACTGCTGTTAAGAGCTCTGATTGCTCTTGCAGAGGACCTGGGTTCAATTCCCACCACCCACATCACAGCTAACAACCATCCATAACTCCAGTTCCAGGGGATCCAATGCCCTCTTCTGACCTCTGTGGTCATTGCATGACATGGACGCACTTATACACATGCAGACAACACACTCATACACACAAAATAAAAATAATTCTATTTATTTACTTATTTATTTATTTTGGCCTTTTTGAAACAGGGTCTTCCTGTAGCCCCAGCTGGCCTGGAACTATGTAGACCAGGCTGGCTTTGAACTCACAGAGATCTGCCTGCCTCTGCCTCCCGAGTGCTGAGACTAAAGGTGTGCACTACCACACCCAGCTAAAATAAAAATAATTTTTTAAAAATTTAAATGTTCAGTGCCAGAGGCAGAGGCAGGCAGATCTCTATGAGTTCAAGGCCAGCCTGGTCTACATAGCAAGTTCCAGGCCAGGGAGACTTTGTTTCAAAAATACCAAAAAAAAAAAAAAAAAAAAAGGAAGAAAATTTTAATATTCAATAGAATAAGCTCACTCTGGAAGGAAATAGATATGTGAGCCAAACTGAAAGCTTCCTGATGCCTTGAAGGATGTGGTAACAGTTTCCAAGGTGATTCTGGTTTACATTTCTGTTATTTTAAATATGTATTTTTCAAGTCTCAATGTGTGTATTCCTGGGACTTGTGATCATATACAAAAGGATTTATAAAGCCATGGCCACAAAGTTGGGCATTTCCACAGGTCATCAGTTTTACTAGAGGATTTCAGAAGACACATTCAAAGAAATAGCGATAGCTGCCATGGTGATGCACCCCTATAATTCCAGCACGTAGGACGTGTTGGCAGGAAGATCAGGCATTCAGACCAGCTTCACTACATAGCAGATTTGAGGCCAGCCTGGGCTACATCAGATTTTGGCTCAAATAATAAATTAATGATGATGATGATAAAATAATAATAATAATAATAATAATAGGGCTGGAAAGATGGCTCAGCAGTTAAGAGAACTGGCTGTTTTTGCAGATAAACAGGGTTCAGTTCCCAGCACCCACATGGCAGCTAACAACCTTCTGTAACTCTAGTTCCAGGGGATCTGATACCCTTTTGTGGCCTTCTTGGACATTGCATAGATGTGGTACACTTACATACATGCAGGCAAAACTTTCATAACACATAAAAAATAAGAAAATGAAATAAAATAAAAATAATTTGGATAAGCTCTTTAGCCAATGGCCTATTAAAAAAATAGTACCTAGGAGGCTAGAGAGATGGCTTAGTGGTTAAGAGCAGGTGCTGCTCCTGAAGAGAGCCTGAGTTCAGTTCCCAGCACCCATGTCAGGTGTTTCACAACTGCCTGTAACTCCAGTTCCAGAGGGATCCAATGCCTCTGACTTCTATGGGCACCTGCACATGCCCTCCCCTATACAGGTAATTAAAAATAAATAAAACAGCCGGGCGTGGTGGCGCACACCTTTAATCCCAGCGCTTAGGAGGCAGAGGCAGGCAGATCTCTGTGAGTTCAAGGCCAGCCTGGTCTACATAGTGAGTTCCAGGACAGCTGGGGCTACAGGGAGATCCTGTCTCAAAAAGACAAAAAATAAATAAATAAATAAATCTTTGAAAAATGGTATCTAAGTTGGGCATGGTGGTGCACATCTTTAACTCCAGCACTTGGGAGGCAGAGACAGGTGGATCTTTGTGGGTTTGAGGCCAGCCTGGTCTATATAGCGAGCTCCAGGCCAGCTGAGGCTACAAGGAGACCCTGTCTAAAAAATACCAAAAAGAAAAAAATAGGTATCTAAGCCGGGTGAGGTATCACATACCTTAAGCCCAGCATTTGGGAGGCAGAGGCAGGCAGATGTCTGTGAGATTGAGGCCAGCCTGGTGCTACAGGGAGACCTTGTCTCAAAAAGACCAAAAAAAAAAAAAAAAAGAAAAAAAAAAAAGAAAATTGGTACCTGGAAAGTAGAAAGGATTCAGGCAGACCCTACAGAGACAATGCTTTTTACCCTAGGCACTAGAGAGGGTTTTCATATCTACTCCTGACTTGGTTCTTTTTCCCCCCTAGAAATTGGTCCACAATGTGCATAACCACATCACCAATGACAAGAGATTCAATGGGTCTGAAAGGTATGGTCTCTTAAGGGAAAAAGACTACAGGTGCTTTGTTGAGAAGAGGGAAGTGGGGGCAGGGAAGACACCACTACAGTGAGGCCAAGGCCGTTACCCTTGGTAGCCTGTATGTATCACACTTAGGAATTTACTTCGGAGTTGATTAGTTTTGGGTATCTCTGTTTCCTTTGGTCCTCCCAAAGCTGTCTGCCTTATTTTTCCTCTGTGACAGCATTAAGTCCTCTTGGAATATTTCAGTAGTGAAATTCCTTTTGGAAAAGCTCAAGCAGGAGCTGATGACCAGTCCCCACAATTACGCTGATAAGGAGCTGAAAGGTAAGCTTCCCACCTGCCCTCTCTCCTAGTCCCCTGTTCTCGGTGAAGGGGGGAGGCACAGAGATGATTTAGATACTACTGAAATAGGGCACGGGGGCCGGAGAGATCCGGGGGCTGGAGAGATGGCTCAGCAGTCAAGAACACTGGCTGCTCTTACAGGGGCCCTGGTTTGGATCCCAGCACCCTCATGGCAGCTAACAACCTTGTGTAACTCCAGTTTCAGGAAATCCAGTGCCCTCTTCTGGCATCCATGGACACAGGTGCACTTTTACATACATACAGGCAAAACATTCATACACAGAAAATAAAAATAAATAATAAATAAAAACTTTAAAAAAGAAAAGATATAGTGCATTGCTGGATGTGGTAGCTCATACCTGCAGTCCCAGTGCTGAAGGCTGAGACAAGAGGATCCCTTCAGGTTCAAGGCCAGCTCCATGGTGAGCTCTAGGCCAGCTTGAGCTACAAAAAAGAAAAGAGCCGGCTATGGTGGCGCACGCCAGTAGGATTTGCTGAAGGAGGCAGAGGCAGGAGGATCTGGAGTTCGAGGCCAGCTTGAGCTACACACTTTTTAGCCGGGCGTGGTGATGCACGTCTTTAATCCCAGCACTCCGGAGGCAGAGGCAGGCAGATCTCTGTGAGTTCAAGGCCAGCCTCGTCTACATAGTGAGTT